ACACCTTAAAATTCCCAAGGTTGAGAAACACTGGTCCATATTTTGACAGCTTGGCCCAGTTCCATCTTCAGTTGAGTTTGCCAGAGCCATTTTCAAGAGATGGAAACAAATAAATGCCTGCATTTGGTTGGTTGGGCATATGAATGGAACAGAGCCTTTGTTTCAGGCTCGGCAAACAGTGAACCATCAGATTGTTGTAAAATATTCTGTATTCTGCTTTTGAAGAGTGTTGGGAAGATACAGCTGATGCAGTATTTAGGATGCTAACTGGTATGCTCAATCATTACGATTTTGAGAGATCTGCACTGTTGCCTATTATCTTCTAGATGCAGGTCAAGGTGTTGATATAGCCTTAATGTTTTAGAGTCTAGTTGTCTGAAGACTGTTTTGTTATGAGTTAGCTCTGCATAAGAGGACTGTGTTAAGCATCCATTCAGAGAAGCACGATTGTCAGTCGAGCAGGGTTAGGCCTTTCCCTGGGGAATGCTTTCATTTCAAAGTTGATTGCTACTCTTTCAGTTTGCCCTTTTGAAGGTATAATTTTTAAAATTGATACATATCGCTGTTAATTTTTGGTTTATAAACACTACCTTGTTTTTCTAGAATTAGCTAATTTGTGTTATGTGAGCTAATTTTTCTTATATTTTCTTTTTCTTATATTTAAATGTGAGTTCTATAAATCATTAAAAATCCATTTAAAATAAAATGTTTTATTATTAAAAATATCCAATCAACAATTAGCTATCCAGAAGTAAGCTGTCACCTGAAATGTTATCAAAAAAGAGCTTTTTATGTATCCTGCCTGAACCTATGTTTAATTTTCTGTATTGGCTCCTGAACTAAGGTATTTTAATAATTGGACTAAAAGCTTCTTGGTTGTTATAGCAGGTTGCCTCTTATGGGATCTCCTCAGGCCTCAAGCATCTGCTTGCATAAAAATTGTTATCTATAAAGTTCTAAACTGTGAAATGTGGTTTTTATATTTCTAGACATGCTACTAAAATAAAGATTGCAACTACTGATATAACACAGGTTATAGAAGAAACATCTTGCAGTTGATGTTTTCGGCCACATATGCATCCAGATCTGATTGGTAGAGATCTGTCTGATGTAGTTAAACAATAGAAGAGAATATCTGTAGCTCAGGGTTGACCTACGGAGTCCTTGGTGCTCTCTGAGCTTGGTTGTTTGCTTGCAGACGTTTCATTACCCGATTAGGTAACATCATTAAGTGCTAGTGAATGTGGAGTTTGCTCCCTGTTTATATACAGTATATAAACTCTACATAAACAGGGAGAAAACTCCACACGCACTGATGATGTTACCTAGTCGGGTAATGAAACGTCTGCAAGCAAACAGCCAAGCTCAGAGAGCTCCAAGGACTCCATAGTTAGCCATTATTAACAGGCAGATGATTTGTTTATCTACGAAATATGTATATTTGCATGTAAGAGAGTTTGCCAAAAAAAAAAAAAAATGCTGGCAGCTGAAGGTGGACACATAGGATGATGTTACCACATGCTTTTATTAATAATTAAAATTATGTGAATAATTGTTTCAGTATAGGTATAAAGAAGTCATATGAACACATGCATAGAAATAAATAGCATTTGAGCGCTCACTTTATCCCTTGTAATGTAACTGTGGCAAGTCAACACATGTAGAAATAAAGATCAAAAATTAAGCATTGAGCATGCTTTTTAAACTGCAGTTTTAAGTACAATTATGCAGGAGTAAATCCTATTGAATTTGGCAGGACTTGCTTCTAAGGAGGACTTTAATCAGCAAAATGAGGTGCCTTTACAGAACCTGTTGTGTTAAGTATTAATGTAGGCATTGCATCAAAAAGTCGACCCCCCACTCCCCAAATTAGGTTGCTTTTTACAATTTGGGGGAGGATTTTAAGAACCAAAATTGGTGTTTTAAGTACTAGGTCAGGAGTGGAGAACTAGATTCAACTTGAAGGCTGAGTCTACACCTGTAGGAGTTTGGCCAGGGTGTTTAATGGGAGGAAGTGACAAAAGGCCTATGTCTCTGAGGGATTGTATGCAGAGCTGTAAGAGGGGAAGAGGAGCTCTCTTGAATAGTTGCAAGAGGTGGGCCCTGGGAGCTGCTGAGTGCCCATTGTAGGGACCAGATGACTGATTCCTGCTTAGTAAACAGGTTAAGACAAATATAAGGCACCAATAAAAGAGAATATGTGTAGCTCAGGGTTGAACTGTGGAGTCCTTGGGGTTCTCTGAGCTTGGTTGTTTTCTTGCAAACGTTTCATTACCTGGGTCGGTGAGCTTA